AGATTACATATCACTCCTGTGACAAGGACCTTCTCATCTCACTACCCCACATATGGATGTAAAAGCATTTTAGAAAAAGAACAAAATAAAACATGAAATTAAAGTACTCTAAGACATGAGAAGGAAACAGTCAGTAATCACAATGTCATTTTCACTAATTAGAAAAGAATGCATATAGTCAGACCCAAGCATGCAATAATCATGAATTTTTATTGTATAAACATCAGAAATAAGTTATTAGTTCTTTTTATTTAAGCCAAGAGGTAATTATTTCTGTTGTCATTTAAGGCTTGAGGGGAAAACTGAAATTGTGGAGAATCCCATGGTTGCAGGAAGAGGGAACTCAATTCACCATTATGATTGTTGCCAACCTGCCAGATGCAGTGAAGATGAAGCTCTGAAAAGTGCACTATAGTTGGAGAATACATGACATACATACTCAGACATTTGTATGCACACATACTTATATGAGAAATCACCACACACCTGTTTATCACCAGTTTTAAAAGATTCGTCACATCTAGCACTGATTACACAGAAGGGCCAACAGCAAAAGATGATGTTTAGGAGGGGAAAACTGAAAGTCTACTACAACTGCTGTTCTACAACTTATACACAAACTAAATACCATCTGCATGCCTTACATGAAATTACACATCTCTGGACAGTAGTTTTCAGCCAACAGCTCCTCAAATCGTTTTGATAAAAAAGCAGCAGCAGACAAAAATAAAACCCATCACATTTTTACAGAAAACATTACTTAAGAGCTGCAGATAGGTCATCTCTTCCAGAAGTAGCTACTGCCCAGTTACTCATCACCACTGAGCAAAGAGAGACTACCACCCATAGAGACTTGCAACAGAGTGAATCATGTAAGAGCACACTAATCCACTTTGGGAAAAATTAATCAAGGTAACTGACCAGTGAAGGTAGGCTGAGCTAATACTGCCCATTGAATGGCTGATTATGCCTAAAGCATGTAACACTGCATATGGCTTCTCTGGTAGAACGGATTATTACGTATGGTAACCTATGGCAGAGAAGGAAAGACAAACGAATGGGGGACACTGTATCTACAATTCTCACAGGTATTAGGGAAGAAAAAAGAAAGATAAAAATCAATTCCTATCCATATTCTGAAACGTTAACTACAACCTCCATGATAAGCTGAATAAGACGGACTGTGCAAACCACTAACCATTATTGTTACTTGAAGTCACAGACTGCCTCCCCAGAAACTGTGTGAAGTTAGAATGTTTATCTTTCATCAGCCTCATAATTTTCATAGATTTGTTCTGTTTCTTTATCTTCTTGTTACTGCAAAATACGTTGCCATTTTCGTAGTAGACACTCTGATCACTAACTTTCTTTATTTAAGTCTTTTAAATTTAAAAATTCAGTATACATGCTGAACAAATTCATTTGTGCAGTAATTTGATGAACACCAGTTCTATGAAACAATAGGTACCATGGGTTTTTTTTATTAGTTACTACAGAAAGGCCAGATTCTTCCCCAAACTCCTTCAAAGCACAGAAGGAAATCAGACACACACTACCCTAGTTTAGGGAGTCAGATGTAAATATTCCCATGAACTATAACCAAACAATGTCTTCAAACTCTTAATGCTGTACTATCTTAACCTCACAGAATTAGGCCAGTATCAAATATACTTTAAACTGGCATAATGTGTCACTGTCACCGAAAGAAACAGACACACCCTGCTCCCCTTACTGCTTGCTTCCATCCCCATCTCTGCGCCAGCACAAATGTTTGTGCAGCAAACTGATCCAGCTCAAAGCGAACCCTTCCCTGCCTGCCCCTCCCCCAGGTTAGCTCAACCCTCAGCCCAGCTCACCACAGCCATACAAGTATTTGCCTGCACAAAGGAGGAAGCAGCAGAGCAGGGTGGAAGCAAACAGGACCATGTTTTTCAATGGTGGAGCTGGTCTGTGCCAGCTGTATGCCAATGCAAAGCAGGAGTAGTAGGTCGAAGGCTGGAGTCCTGCAACACCAACATCACAGATCCAGGCCTATGGTGTGCCACTCCTGCCCTTCCTCTCTGGGATCCCAGCCCTCCACTCACACAGCCACTGGCAACTGTCCGGTGAGTCGGTTCAGGGTGCCAGTCAACCGAAAAACTAATTCTACCAAGAAAAAAAATAAAGTTGCTAATTTTAAGCCAGTACAGGTTCCTGAACCAGTTCCCAGGGCAATCCTTACCATCACAAGGAAGGAAGAGGAGAAAGGATGCTGGGAAGGTGGAAGGTCCAACTTCTATCAGCTTGGGATGCTGTGGAAACACTCAGACATCACCACATTTTAAATTTCAACTTGCCTGCACAGCTGAATGTGACTATTTTAATAAATTTTTTTCTAAGATTAAACCTTTTTCCAATCTTTGTAGGAACCTAAGCAGCCATAGTCTACTTGGACACAAGAAGCAAGAAGTGAGGCCAGTTCACTACATCAACCACTTCCACCCTTCATATTCAATAAAACAGAGAGACTGCGTTAGTTTCTCTAACTTAATGATAGTTTTACCAGGTAATGGTTTTAAACATCACTGATTAAATGACCTCATATACATGCATTAGAAGAACATACATGGAATAAAACCATTGCAGCAATGTTAAGTATTACCTTAACCATAGTTTAGTACATACAAGGAGTTTAGATGCTTCTAGTGATTAAAGTCAACAGACGTAACAAATATCTCTACTCAGGCGTGAATTTCATCCATTATTCAAAAAGGTGTTTAGCTTAAAGTACAAGTCCCAATGATCACAAAATGAACAAAATTAGTTTCAATGAGGTCATAATCAGACATCTAATAAACATGGATGTAGCTCCTTTCAAGCTAACTTTTGAACAACTAAGTATCATAAGTAGGAGTACAGAGCATGATCTTTTTAACTTATGAACAATGCGATTTATAACTGAATTGTTAAATTTAGCAGAGAACTATTTCCATGCAAAGTAAATGTATGTTTACATTCATCCAGTTAACAAAGAAAATAAATATATTCATATCAATTCAAAAGGTAAGACATATTGACACTATAGTTCAAGAACTGAAGTGCAGAATCAGATGCTTTTTTCTGAAAACCAGTCTTCCCAAGTGCCATACATTGTATTTTTCTAGTTAATGAAACTCTCTTATAAAGTTAGATTCTTCCACAGACTACCACCTGCCTACAGCAGCATTTTTTAAGACAACTGATCTTCCCTTTAACAGAAATTTCTTGTATGATGAAAAAGTGTTCCAAAGTACTCTGCCTATAAAAATTTTAGAGAAGAACAGTTTATTTTGACTACAATTCACCACCAATACTTGAGACAAAACACTGAACTGGAAAGTGAGCAAAATCCTGAAAAGCTATTTAACCATAAATTCATACAACTGCTGGCACACTGTTTCAACAAGCATATTCAAGGAATTCTTGACATGGAAGTAAATAAACTCAGGGACTCTAGTCAAGGCATAAGGTTCTTAATTTCATTCTCTTTAGCTTGGACCTAAACTGGTGGTTTATACTGATATAGGTTTCCTTTCAAGCCGGCATAGACAGATGTGCTGTTCAAATGCACTTGCTAACCAAGGAAAACAGACAATGAACTTCCCTGGCAGTTCTGCTGATTTAAACAAAGAACCACAATGCTTATTGGATCTGAACCCAGATATCTTAGTACCAAGCCAATTTTAACAGAGCAATAAATCTTTAAAAATTATAAATACAAATATACTGTAGAATTAGCAGAACAGATTAAATGACAGGTTCATGATATGGAATTATTGCTAATGTTAACACTATTAAAGACTTATTCAGAGAACTCTTTCTGCTCATTACACTAAACATCATTTTGTCACTAGGCCTTAAAGTTAAGAAAAAAATCCAGGAATATTTAAAAGTCACAAATAAAATGCTTGTTAAAAATATTAATATCAAACCACAGTTGGCAACTTTTTCAACACTTACTAAAATCTGTCTTGATTTCTACACTATTTCTTCATTGCAATAACAGCATTACTTTCAAATCACAGTCCAACAACATTTCTAGCGATTTCTAGTCATGATTGTCATATCTTATGCAATGACTTTGAACAAGATGCAGTGACCAGGAAGATGCAAAAACATGCAATCTTCTTCAAAAATTTCAAGTTCAGACGAGCACTCAAGCCAAATAAGTACTGAAACACCTTTTAACGTCTGTGTGTCTTCAGATCTATCCTTGCTAAATTTACGTGTAGCGATAAGTCACAGGAAGGGCAGTTTAAAATGTCGAGGAAATGAGCTCGGTATCGCTTTCATTCATACACACAGCACCCCTTCCAAGAGCCTGGAGGACTCCCTTCCCCTGGCAGGCTCTGTCCACGGGTCCCAACCCGCTCTCAATTATCTCAGGGCTCGCACCTCGAAAGCCCCCCAGGTTTGCTCAGCAATATGAAATAGCAAACGCACTTGTCTTGGCAGGCAAGTGACGGACGCAGCTGACCTAGAGGAAGGTGCGAGGGCTTGACAGGTGACACGAGATGAGACACAACCATCAGACACGCCGAGCAACGAGCAGGCGGTCAGGAAGCCGGGACCGCTCCCCGCGCCAGACCTGCCTCCAACATAGCCACAGCAGGGACAAATTTATCGCCTCGTCTTTTGTTTCTAAACTCGCACTCCGCTCGTCCACCGCCGCTCCCGCCCCAGCCCCAAAGCAAGGCAGCGATCCCCCTCCGTGCCCGGCCTTCCCCGCCCAGAAACAGCCCCGGGCCGGAGCCCCCCGTGCCCGTGGGGGCCCAGCTGCCACCGGGCTCCCGCGCCCGGACCCACGGGGAAGGAGGAGCAGGTCCTACCGCGGGGCGCGTCCCAGCCCGGCTCCCGCGGGAGGAGGCCACACAAGGGGCTGCTCCGGGGCCCGGGGGGTTCCACTGGGAGGGGGCGGCAGCGGAGCCGGCCAGGCACGCCGCGGGAAGGAGCCGGGGGAGGGGGCGAGGACCAGCACCCACCTGGGCCATGAGCCCCGCGCTGGCCGCCGGGCCGGGCCGCCTGTGACGGGCGAGACGGCGGCCCCGCGTCGGGCCGGGGCACGACTGCGCCTCCGACCGCGGCAGCGACAGGGCCGCGCTCTGGGCCGGACCCTGCCCGGCTCCGCTTCCGGAGCGCGGCGCGATCGTCTTCCGGGGCAGCGCCCGGGGAGCCGCGGCGGGCGGCGGGGCCTGGCACCGGCACCGGCCCCGGAACCGGCCCTGGCACCGGCCCTGGCCCCGGTACCGCCCGGGCGGCGGGGCGGCCGCGGGGCTGCGCCGGGAGCGGCGCGGGGGCCGGCGGGGAGCGAGGCGGCCGCGAAGTGTGTCTTACTGGTTCCCCATGTTTAAAAAAAATAAGTGAATACAAAATATTAAAGCTGTAATCGCGCGCTCAGCTCTGGGAAGGATTGGCTCGTTTTGCCGTAGCTTTTGTAGCGCTCGGTGTCACTGCCGCGGTGGCTCCTCACATACAGCCTACAGGATTTGGGCTGTGTTAGTAAGGTTGCACTATATGGCACTGAATGCAAAGACAGGAGCTGTACACTTTAAAAACACAGATACAGCACAATTAATGTTGGAAACGAGAACCAGAGGAGGTGCCACACCTGTGCAGGTTTGTGGAAATGCTTAACACTCCTGTTAGCCAGTGCAAAAAACCCCACACATTTGTTCATGGTCTCGCTACCTCCGTGTCACCGTGTCTGCTCCCTCTTTACGGGCCAATATGTGTGACTAGTCTTGGACCAGAAGACAGTGTAGTCTACAATTAATCTTGAATGTGTAGGTTTTGTCCCAACATACACAGAAACACACTGCTCACAGTTAGAGCACCCGGCAGCCTGCATAAAATTCAGCTTTGTCTCGTCTTGTTATCCACCTGCTTTGGCCGTAATCTAACTTCTGAACTCTTCACCAAACAATGCCTTGCACCAAGTTGCTTCATAGAACAGGTCTGTCTATGTCTTGGACTTTCTCAGGGGTTGTGCAACTCCTCTTTTGACTCTCTTTCATTTACCTCATGATAAGGAGAAGAGTAAATGTTGCTCTCACAGTTGCTCACTTTCTTCCCTTCCCTGGACAGTTATTGCTTTGTAGCAGAAATGTTGAAAGTAAATGGATCACAATACTCTGCTATCCTAATATTCATTTAATCTGTAGGTTGTGTGAGAGCTGAAAAAGCTGAAGTCCATGCAGAAGTTTTCTTCAGATGGACATACTAGAAAGGTGGTAATACCTAGAAGGAAAAGGGTGGAGAGAGCACAGCTGTGGTTTAGCATTTGTACCACTGCAGCTATTGACTCCTGTGCATGTGAGTCAGGACCCAGAGGACTAGATGGATAAAGCAGAGCAAATGGGATTTTTCTATATCTGAGTCATGTAATAGGTAAGGTCATGTAGCAAACACTGTCATCTAATGTACAGTATGTGATCGTATGCCATAGACATAATATACCAACAGGCTACAAAGCAATCGGCTCTTCTTAAACATCTGCAGGATTCCTTATGACCTTCAGGTCACAGGACTTGCCCTAAAGTCTGTTCAGATGCAGTTGTTGATCCCAATCTGTTAGTGCACATTCAACTACGTGTAGTCCCTTGCAATTTTTCCCTAGTCTTTTCAGCAGTGTCTGGATGAGCAGGAACAAAGTTTTGATGTGTCTCTTCTTCTGGGTTATTTCTTTATTTTCTTTCCTCTAGCTCTCACCACACCTTCACCAGTTCATTTGAATGGCTGCACTTAAATTACGTCAGGATTTTGTATTAAATTAGGACAGCACAGTGTCTCTTTGACAGTCAAGCTCAACATCTTCGTCAAAGGTGAAGTGCTATGTTTGTTCATGTGTGAAATTGGTCATCCTTATTGTTTACCTGAGTGTCACCTTATCTAGCTCACCCAGGTCTACTGACAGACCAATTCAGTGTTTAGATACTGGAGCTGCACTTTGTGACTGTTATAGATCTTTCTCTGGGGGATTTTCTTGCTTCGTGAGACCTTACTGTGTTGCATTCCTGGTGGGCATTTCTGTTGTGTTGTTGTTCCTTCTCATTCTCACTTACGTAGATGTTTTGGATCCATGACATATTTGTTGCTCATATCTACAATCATTTCTGTCATCCCAAACTGAGATTATTGCAGCTCTGTCCAGATGCTGCAACAATTACAGTCTTTCAAAAACTGCATAGATTCTTACAGACTTTTGTAGATTATGAACTTTTATTGCTTTAAGTCCTTTGATGGCATCTTCATTTGTATTAGGTCTTGCTAAACTTTCTTTATGTCAGCTTTGAAATCAAAAGCCTTCTGTGTTCTTTCACTATAGCTCACATTCTCTCTTTTTAAAAATTAGATGCTGCTGCCATCTTTAAAGCTTTTCCATAGATGTTTCATCCATAGATAAAATTTGTAACATTATTATTTTAGTAACTAAACCTTTCAAATTGTTTGCTTCAGCATTTTTATATGGTATTATACAGCCACTAAATGCACAGCTTTTCTGAGGCAACAGAATTTAAAAATTAGGTCATGTAAGTGTTTTGGAAGGATTCATAGTATTTTAAGGGGAGTTAAATTTGAACTGCATCAGATATATGGTAGACTGTATTTCTAGAAGTTCTTAATGCACTGTCCTAATGTATTTCAGTGTTCATTGATAGACCGCTCTTGTTCCAGTTCCTGAATTCTTACAAGATAATACCAACATGTTTTTATGGCTTTCATAATGAAATTTGGACTCTGCAGGTCAAGTGCTTTTGCCCTTGGCCTATGTTGATTTAGGCAGTATTCAATTCTGTAAGCAGGAGTGCAGTCCTGTCACATATATTTTAACAGCAGATTTTTCCCCCTGTACTGAGCACTGGTGAGGCCTCACCTCGAGTCCTGTGCCAGTTCTGGGCTCCTCACTGCAAGAAAGGCATTGAGGTGCTGGAGTGTGTCCAGAGAAGGGCAACAGAGCTGGGGAATGGTCTAGAGGGTAAATCATATGAGAGGCAGCTGAGGAAGCTGGGGTTGTTTAGCCTGGGAAAAAGGAGGCTCAGAGGAGACCTTATTGTTCTCCACAACTAGCCAAAAAGAGGCTGCAGTAAGGTGGGGTCATCTTTTCCCATGCAACTGGCAACAGGACAAGAGGAAATGGCCTCAAGCTCCACCAGGTGAGGTTCAGGTTGGACATCAGAAAGAATTTCTTCATGGAAAGGGTTGCCAACCACTGGAGTGGACTGGCCAGGGAAGGTGGTAGAGTCACCACTGCTGGAGAGGTTCAAGAAGCAACTGCACTTCGTGCTATGGTCTAGTTTATGAGATGGAGATTGGTTACAGGTTGGACTCAGTGATCTTAAATGTCTTTTCCAACCTAATTGAGTCTGTGATTTATCTGATTAGAACAGTGTTTTCTTATTTATTTTGTATTCTGTCTTAATATTTGGACCTGACAAAGAGAGGACTCTTGGGGAATAGAACACCAAATTCTGCATTGTTTTTTGGCAGTTTCCTTTCATATGCTGTTCAGAGATTCCTAGCAACAAACTTCTCAAGGCCATGAAGTGGAGACTTGTATCTCTTTTTTCAAGAACTTTTTCAAGAACCTTTCACACTTCAATGTATAGTTTGTCTTCTCATCAGGAAGTAATTTCTGACCGGTATGAGATATGCCTACACCAGCACAAAGCCTGGATGTGTTTTTGGAGATGAATATGGACTCAGATCGTTAACATTTCCACTATAACTTCTACTCTGCAGTAAACATAGGAGAGTATACAGTTTCTCTTAAAAATTAAATCGTAGCAACAGCCTCATGACAAATCAAAGAACTTTGCAGTCACTTTGTTTTGTAATACAGAAAGCCTTTGATATTCCTGTAGGCACCACCTAACACAGCTGTAGGTAAGGACTGTTTCCTGCTTTATGACTGCAGTGAAAGCATCTTTCTGGTTGAAATGCAGTGTGGAAGCTTGTGCACTTTCTCTGCTATAGGAGGCTACCTACAGTAATTGTATTCTGACCCACATTTTCCAAAATCCATTTGACACTAAAAAACCCTTCTTTTTAAAAATAAAAACCCACACATTCAGACTATGACAACATTACAGAAGCTGGAAAACAAATTTATAAAGAGAGAGAATTGGACTTAGTGTGCTAGCTGAGCAGAATAACTCTCAGTCACATCACATTCTGCGTCCCCTCATGTGTGGCATGTTAAGTAGAATAACCCTTTGTATATCACATCAAGAAGTTTTTGTTTTCACAACCAAACAAACCCCCTGCATACAGCAAGGGCCATACAGCAGTTACTTACAGCCAGATCCTGCCCTTCTATGAAAGCACACCTCCACAGTACAGTTAATATTTGTTGGGTTTTTTTTCAGAAGGAAGTGCAAAGTTGAGGTAGTTTGAACCAGTAGTTTCCTGCTTCATTGAGTATTGTCATTAGTTGTGATTTCACTTAAAAGTGAAAAAGAAAGTTTAAATCCAATAGTAAATAAAGATGCCTTGCAGCTGGACATTTTAATTCACATAGCGAATTTTCTTCCGGAAACTCTCTTTGACAAACTTTCTGCTCTTGCAAGGAAAAGTGGAACGGACCTGGTCATTCAGGAATTCTTATGGTGGCTATTTGTATTGTAATTTGGCTTTCCTCAGTTTTATAAATTGTCTTGTCCTTGTACAAAAAAACTGCTGACAAGGTTAAAGGATCCATGAGTTCTAAGTAATATTCTATGAAGGACAGGGTAGTTGTTGTGACAGTTTGTCAGTAAACTTTTAAAGATAGTACAATGAGTTGCAAAAATGCAATTTTAAATTTAGGTATCTCCTCTGACCTCATTTTAGTCTGAGCTTGCTGTCTGAGGTATTATGTAGTTTATTCTTAGAGATGCTAGTTGTTTGGTCCTTTATAATTTGAATATTGAAAGCCTGAAAAATATCATTGCAAGTAAAGCTGCTTTTTGGGCCTCACAAGTATATATACTAATTCAGTTCTTTTCACAAGTTAATGTTCTGTGTAACCAAATTGAACTGGTTTCATTTTCCTAAAAAAGGCTGTCATGTGCAATTCCAGTAACTTCTTGGTGATTGTTTCCCTGGAGAACCATCAGTTTATTGA